AAAACCAACTCCGAACACAAAAGGTGAGATTATGCCAAAAAGTGACAAACAGGGAAAAGACAAAATAGGGAAAAGGACGAAAAGTGAATAGTGTCAAAAAACGAAAGATGTGGAAATGAGTCAATCTTTAAAGGAAGTTGTCAATCCAAAGGAAAGAGTCTCAGAAACTATTTCCGAGTACTCGAGATGACACTAAGTAACGAGAAACCAAACACAGAAAAGAAAAGATAACAGAAAAAAAATTATCCGTAAAATTTGAGGAAAAATGAAAGGAAGGAAAATGACCGGGTTATTACATTAGAAGATTAGAAAGCTTTGATGCTGATCGATGATTGAGACATTTGGTGCTTTGTCATTTTTGTTTGTTATGGTTATGCGATTGAGATATAATTGGGATTCTGAGAATAGATATATGACAGTATATTTGTTGATGTTACGTAAAGTGATGGATTGATAGTGAATGGATCTCATTGTTATTTTGTGGACTGTGTGAGATTGTAATTAAGGTATGGACCTGAGAACAAGAACGACGTCTGTGCTGAGACCAAATTGAGGATGAGGATGGCCTGGCCAATCATTTCTCCTGAATCAATCCCTCTTTAGTACGATGTCGGGTCAAAGGTCAATGATTGTTTTAAGTTGACACGAATAATGAGAGTATGGTATTGGGTGTGTCAGTGTGGTGGAGTAGATTCAGGTGGTTTATCTCGAGTGACGAGGTGTGTTAGGTGGGACCAAATGTCCAATCCGTTTGATTATTAAAGATCTTATTTTGAGGATTTGTGCCCTGGGTACAGGATATACTAATTTGGCGACTAATGTTTATGCAATAATTGGGAGACTCATTGTTTAATCATATTGAAGTTGTTTAGTGTAATGATTGTCATATAGTGTGATTAGTAGTCGTTGGTACGATTATATGGTGGTGTAGCTATATACTAGATAGTAAGTGTTTGGTCTGTCAGGGATATGTAGATTAAAGTTGAGATTGATTAAGAAATGGAAATGATTCCTTGTTTGGGGTTTAGTGTGTCCTTTGAAGGATGTGTTGAGGTTAGATGTTGTCTTTTTCGGTGGTCTGGTAACTGTTCTTTTCTCGGGCTTTGGAGCCTTTTGTGACAGTGTAGAGTAGACTGATGTCGGTTTTAAGTCAGGCGTAAGGTCTAGTTAATCTGTGTTATGATGAAGGGAAAGATGGGTAACCTCATTGGGTTTTGGTGGTAGTGGCGTGTGATTGCCTAGTGATGTCCGATGACAAAGGCAATAATGTCAGTGAGTTCATAGTTTTGGGGTTTTGTGAGGTGTTTTCGGAAAGTGTGTGGCTGTAGGCCTTCTCTATAAGTAGGGTAGATTTCGAGGACGAAATCTCTTTCAAGAGTGTAGATTGTAATGTTTCCAATTTTTACCATTTTTTCATTTTCTGAAATTTTCTATTTTTGCAAAGGCATTTTCGTCTTTTTTCGTTTTGCATGTTGGATACCGTGGGGTGTGCCAGTTATGTCCGAGAGTTGGTTGGGGCATTTATTTGAGTTCAGGACTCTTAGATATGCAATTGTGGTCATTTTTGCATATTTTTTCATTTTTCGGGCTGGACGGTCCGTGTGGGACCCGTTACCGGAATTGTTGCATACGGGAATTTTAGTCGGGTCCATTTGCATCTCATGCATTTTATTTAATGTGTCTTATGTGGGTTTTATATAGTTTGTGTATATATATTTAAATGGTGCAAAAGAAAAATCAAAAATAGAAATTTAAAATTTTGTGATGGAACCTACTTTCCACTAAATGAATTAGTGGCCAAGAGGCCATTTGGCCTCACTCCCTTTCTCTCTCCCCGTAATATCTCTCTCTCCCTCACATTTCTTCATTTTTTCTTTTTTTTTTTCAATCAAAACTTCAATCTCAAATTTCTTCCTCATTTTTTGGAATTTTTGGATGCAGTTTGTGGCGGCCCAGCGAGATATACGCGTTGATATAAGCAATTCCTTGTTTGGTGCACTTTAGGGATTTCGAATTTTTGGACCCATTTAGGGGTTTTTGCATCTAAGTGAGGTATGGGGGTTTAATTTACAGTCTTTTGAATTTTTGTCAATTAATTTTTGGTTTAGTATACTAATTGTATTGATTTTCCTCTAAAATGATGAAATTGTTGCAAATAAAGTATGTGACTATGTGTTTTAGTTGATTTTACATGGACTAGTATGCTTGTATGAAGTAGAATTCATGTCTTACATGTTTGCTTTGCCAAATTATTGTTAAATGTAAGTATGTTTTATTTATTTTGAAGTTCTCGTAAAGCATGCTCTGTGTTTTAAGCTTGAAGTAGTTGTATAATGATGAGCATTGGCACGGTTCATTCATTTATGAGATTGTAAAGCATGAGGCATCCATGCATAAGCATTGGGAAAGAAATGGGAAATTGTTTTGAAGGAAATGGAAAATGTTGTTTTTGGGAAAATAAGTTTTGGAAAGGTTTTTGTGAAAAACCCGGACGTCGAGGAGGTAACGAGGGTCCGTGACGTTAGTGTAACCTAGAGGGAACTAGGGAAATTACCCTAGCGTGGTTGAGCTTCTGGGCCCCAAATGACGTCGCGGGGTTACTAAGGGTCAGGGACAGTAGCCAATCCTTCCCTCGTGTCGCCAAAAATTCATCGAGGGACGGGTTATGTTAACAGTGAAAAGTGATGGATTGGATTTTGAAAAAAAATAAAAATGGGGAGCGACATTCATGGCATTGCATCTCATGGCATGAATTTATTTCATTATGACTTGAACTTGCATTGTATTTTTTCTTGGCATTGCATGATCCTGTTGCCTTTGTTTCTATTCATTGTTTGGATTCACGGGGTCCCAAGAGGTGTGCCTTAGGCACTTCCTACTGAGCATTTGCTCACCCCTTTATTAACATTTTTCAGGACACGGCAAAGAAATGGCGGATGGCAATCCACCACAAACATGATGGGAATAGAAGGGATGTTTTGCAACCTTTAGTGTTTTAGAGTCATTCTTTTGTAGGGCATCAATGACAAAAATGTATTAAACTTGTTTGGCATGGCTTTGTAGTGTAACTTTGAGCTTGACTCTATTATGATGTAAATTGGACAAGTGTAAAGATCATATATATTTTTGATGTGAATGGGGTTAATGAAGTTGTGATTGTAAATAATTAATGATGTTTTTCATCCATGAAAGTAATATGATGCATTTCAAAGTGTTTTGGGACATGTTAGATAAGTTTTGAAGGTCCAAGAGAGGCCATTGCATTTTTATGCATTTAAACAGATTGTTGTAGGTTCCTTTTTAGCAGGGGTCATACCAAATTTTTTTTTTTATTTTTTATAATTGACCTCGGGTTCGGGTAAGAACCCGGTTAACGGTTTGAACCTACGGGTTCGGGTCGTTACATAGACACGTATATGAAGTGTCGAACACATGACCGAGGAGTGTCAGTATTCATGATTGTGAGTGTCCTACACGAATACAAGTACGGCTCCTCCTCACGAAAAAGACACCGCTAAAAAAAATAAATAAGAAAATTTATGAAAAATAACATCTAAGTGGAATTTTTTACAATTTTATAGTCACTATTTAGTAACTCTAAAAACCGTTCTCAAGAATTAAGAGAATATAAAACTGTTTTCATTGAAAATATATCCTTTTTATAACTAAGTTTTCAAATAACCATTTTTAAAAAACTGAATCAAACAGAATTTTAAAATGGGCCCAATATTTCCTATTCTTAAATTTTTTTCTTCAAAACGACATATATAAATCTACTACCATGAGTCTTCAAGAAGATAATATTATTCTGAATTTCTCTTAGTTATGGATTTTCAAAAATAGAAAATAAATGTTAGTAAAGTAATGTTAGAGAAGGTTTATTTATTTATGTACTAAATATAGATATATTTTCTCAGTCTTCAAGAAGATTATAATTATTATGAATTTCTCTTAGTTATGAGTTTTCAAAAATAGAAAATAAATGTTAGTAAAGTAATGTTAGAGAAAGGGGATTTTTTTTTTTTTTCAATATATATTCTAACCAAAACAAATTGTAAGCTTGGTAACTGACCCAGAAGGTAAACCATATTGTTCAAGACTTTCCCAATTTGGATTTCAAGCTAGACAAGAGTCAAGACCCCTTTAACATTCTTTCCCACTCTTTAACTTTCATTCCCATGCCTTGGTAACAAATCAAATATAAATAAAGCTCTAGTGAAGAAGTTAGTTTCATTCTTAAAATAATGGCAATAAAAAAATGCACATCGCATACATTTCTTGGCTGAAAAAGCAACGAATTCAAAAAACATGTTAAAGATCATGAAACCAGCATGGATTCTCAATATTATCAAACCAATCATAGTTGGCACCATCACTTGTCTACTTTTCTTGAAATACCATCAACTATACTGTGAAACAATTTGTGTTTACTGTTTAAAAAACAAAAGAATTTCTACTTCTTAACGATATGCACTTCTATATATTTTTTCCCTTCACATCTACCAATTTTAAGAAATTCCTGTACATGGAAAAACGCCTTCTGATTCTAAGCAATTCCTGTACATGTAATGATGCCAGCACAGCTTCAACCAAGATGGGAAATATTTACTACAATTCTGAAATTATTGGTGGTGATCTTGACCACCAATTCTAAGAAATTCTTGTACATGGAAAAACGCCTTCCGATTCTAAGCAATTCCTGTACCTGATGCCAGCACAGCTTCAACCAAGATGGGAAATATTTACTTCAATTCTGAAATTATTGGTAGTGATCTTGACCATTCAAGGATATGGTCGAGAGGAAGGATGGGCTACATCGGCCGTGTGTGGATACGCTTGCGAGGAAGTTTGAGCTACATCGGCTGTGTGTGGATACGCTTGCGAAGAAGTTTGAGCTAAATTGGCCGTGTGTGGAAACACCGGAGAAAAAGCTTGGGCTACATTGGTCGTGTGTGGATACAGTGGAGAAGAAACTTGAGGTACATTCGCCGTGTGTGGATACGCTGGATTAGAAGCTTGGGCTACATTGGCCCTGTGTGGATACGCGAAGAAGTTTGGGCTACATTGCCCGTGTGTGGATACGCTTGAGAAGAAGTTTGGGCTACATTGCCCGTGTGTGGATACGCTGGAGAAGAAGCTTGGGGTACATTGGCCGTGTGTGGATATGCTTGAGAAAAAGTTTGTGCTACATTGCCCGTGTGTGGATACGCTTGAGAAGAAGTTCGGGCTACATTGGCCGTGTGTGGTTTGATATCTCTACTCCGCATGTAAGTCAAGAACTGACCAGGTAGCTCTTCCAAGAGAGCTTGAACAACCGAGATCTGCCCGCCTGCACGAGGGGATAAAATGTTTTATTTACAGTGAAATAGAAAAGCAGAAGACGAAAACTATAACAAAACAGGAGGAGGATATTTCACATATAATTAATTAGTACACAAACTGTCTATTGAAAATTGCAAGGTTTACATCAGGTTCAATAGTGTGTATCAACAGAACCCTATTCAGGCTTAAGACAACATCAAGTGTTACTGCTAAAAGCAAAATATAAATTTCCTAGTCATGTCATAACAAGGCAGGCAATGCACTATTGATTGGTAGTCTAGTTCTACAACCTAGCTATTCCTTTCAATCCCAACTTAAGAGGTACAAATCGCACACAGCAATTTGCAGTTAGTGCCATGGTAGTCTGCCCCACCATCACCTTTGATGTTTACATCAAAACCACTCTCTCAACTGTTGGGAAAACTTATTTCTCAATTCCAATCATGCACGAATCATATCTCCTAATCCATCTTCACATGAGCTTCTTCCAGGTTGAACAACCAAAAGGCTCGAAGCATCAAAGGCGGCTGGCTGGGACAAGCCAAGCTTGAAGCAACTAAGCTCAGCTGAACCCCTCACAATGAACATCAAAATTCGATCTTGAACCCCTCACAACTGCACTTTTTGGTATTAATAACCAAGACCACCTTTGAATCCACCTTCAACTTGAACTTCATTAACAGGCAAGCTAAGAAGCTTAAAGCATCAAAGAAGGTTGACAAGAATACAGTAGATACACATACACTAGAAAATAGGAACATGAAAAGAACAATTATGTTTTAGAACTGCATATGAGGAACAAGAAAAATCTGACCGAAATGTCTAACATCTTTAAAATTTGTAAGCTAAACAAAGATGAACTCACCATGCACATCACGCATCGGAACAAATTGTACAATGTCTCGTGTAGCTATCCTTCCCGTGGAACTCTCTAATCTTTGCCCACCATCGGCATCTAGGATCTGCATGATAAACAAGAATTATGTCACATACCAGTTTTAACACACATGTTTGTAAAAGGATAACATCCAACACCAACAATGAAAGGATTTTTAGTGCTATTATGCTAATAAAAGTGAATTAATTGAAGGCCAAATCTGAATACAAAAAATTAAGGACATACTACCTCCATTTTTTCAAAATCTGCACCACCAACTCCAACAATAAGAATTGAAAGCGGTAGGTCGGATGCTCTCACTAAAGCATCTTTAGTTTCCTGAAGATCAGTAAGGACTCCATCCTACAAAAGTATGAAATTATTTTATTACAAAAATAAAAAATAGAAAGAACAAGAAAGAAGCAAATATTTGTCGTTTGATTCACTACCGTTATAATCAGCAAGACAAAGTACTTGCTCTTGTCGTATGAGAGGGAATGCCCAGCAATTTCTGCAGCCTTGTTGATAACCGGACCAAATAAGGTGGGTCCAGCAAGAGCAACATTGTTCAGAGCACCTGAATAAGCAGCCATTATACCTTCTACTCCTTCAACCTGTAACATGAAGGGAAATTGACCATCACGCCATGTAAAAGATGCAAGGAACCAGACTTATATGGTTATTCATCAATGATGGCAGCATCACCACCACCCACATACACCTATCACAGGGATGAAAATATGATGTTTAAGGCAGCATACTGCTCAAAAAATCAAGCTTGTCAACTCGAGCACATTCTCTCTCTCTCTCTCCCCCCCCCCCCCCCCCCCGCCCCATGCTCTAAACATATCGCTCTTCCATCACAAATCATGATCTCTCCATATTCCTTTATCACCCCAAACCACCACTTTGAAGATATCTCAAACACTCTGGCAAACCAAATTTTGAGAACCGTGAAATTTGATTCCGTGTGATCTTGAACATATGTATTGCATTTCTAATGAAAACCACAAAGATCTAAAGAGTTTGGTGACCGTGAAGGTTGTGAGGTAGAGTTGGCATATCTCTCTCTTCAATGTTTCTTCATATACTCAGTTATATTTTTAGAATCAGATCATGAGTCACTTATTCGGTTTGTTCTGTTTTCCAATTTCCAAACTTGACCTTGAAGTTCCGTTACTTGTATTATGAGTTCTTAGATATTCGCTTATGTTTGAATATTAATTTATTAGCTTTTAAATTTTCCTCGTTGATCTCATATTTGTTTGTTTTTTGTTTCTTTTTCTATTTCTAACTCCAATTTGAGCTGAAAGTTCTGCTTCCAACTACATGTGGATTGAATATTATTTGGTTCACAAGAAATGGGTATGTTTGTTCAAGGCATTTTTTTTTAGTGTATCTACAACAACCAATAAAACATAGATCAACCAATCCAATCTCATATAGACTAACAGTCACAATAGCAACCAGAACACGAGAGAGACAGAGAGAGAGAGAGAGAGGGCATAAAATATTGGGCACTAGCTAGAGAGAAGCTCTTAACAAGAAGATGTGCTCTATAAATGGAGAGAGCAACTTCGTGTTTAGAGAGCAAGGAGGCCACTTATCCTACAACCAAATAGAGAGAAAATGAGATAAAAGCTGGATGTTAAAATAATGAAATGGGTCTCAACCAATAAGGGTATTATTGTCCAAAGAGAAAGGTTAAATTTGTCTTTCCATAATTTTTGAAAGGTCAGTTATGTCATTTTGTTTACTGTAAGGGTAGTTTTGGACTTTCACATAAAATTGTCTAACGGCCCTAATGATTACTTCACTGCAGGGGAGGTCAGAGTATTTTTAGAAATCAACAGGGCAGGTTGACCATATTTTTTTTAAAAGTTTCATCTGACATAGATAAGCCTAAACCTTAGGGGAAATCAAAGTAATTACCCAAATTAAAAACAAGTAAAGTAGGATGTATTTTCCATCCCTTGCAATATATTTACCTCAAAGCCACCTGTACCACTCAAGTTAAAACAGTGAGATACTGAACCATCAAACGTCCTTCCTCCAAAGCCCCAAGCAGGAAAGCGCCTGTCAGAATCATAGAATTGTATGACCTCGCCAACCTCCGTTATAGCCTGTGAGGAGTTCAGTCATTAAATTAAGCACTCGCTTTAACAGCCACTATCATAGAATCTGCAGTTCATAACCACATCGACAGGTCAAATCAATGTGATCAACAGATAAAACAAGTTTATGAGTCTGCATTCCCATGGGAGAAGTTGAGGTTATTTGACTTAATGGTAGGCTCTTTAGCCCCTATAAACTAGTACAAATTTTAAAAATTATTCTTGAAGCATAGACACTTCTAGAATTTAAGACACCACAGGTGGAAACTCAAGGGTATCTGACTTAATGGTAGGCTCATTAGCCCCAATATAAAGTATTGAAGATTTTTTAAATTATTTTTGAAGCTATAGATACTTCCAAATTTGAGAACACCACAGGTGGCACCACCTTACCTGCTGGTAAGCATTCAACCGGCCTGAAGGATCAATGTAGTGCAAAGAACTTACACTGCGAGGATTTCCATTTGAAGCTGGAAAAAAATTCAAATTCAATTCATGAGCAAAACACCTATATTTACAATACAAATTTGATTGGAATAGTATAGCTTTTTTAAATGTTGAAGGTCTATTACCGGTAAAATCAACAGCAACCATAAAGTTAAGTTCAAAGCCACTAGAAATGTAATCGATAAAACTGTGCAGTTTCTTTTCAACAAAGCCATCAACAAAAAGTTGACCCTTCAGAACCTACAGAAGATAAGCACAGTGTAGGTTCAGACATGACAGACATACAACAAGTGGCTAAAATCCTTTTCAAGTACAAAATAAATACCTTTTCATGACCCTGGCGAGCAGATGGTATGATAAAATTTGCACCAATCTTTTCTTTGTGAAGTTTTTCAAGGTCCGTCACTGATTTCTGCATTTTACTGTTTCAAATGAACCGTAGTATCAATATAATTAGCAATAAAAGAAAAAATAAATTCTGAAAAAATAAATAATAAAACAAGCAAAAAGGCAAAGAAAAAAAAAAATCAAAAACAAAAACAAAACAAAAGAAGGAACTCTAACTGAAAAAAAAAAAAAAAAAAAAAAAAAAGGAATTGACAAGACGAATAAATTGAACAATTACCCGATCAGTACATGATTGCCACTGCTATTGAAATCAAAGCACTCAATAACTAATGGATTATCCTGCACCAAAGAGATATTTTTTTTTGGTAAACAACCAATAAAATAAATAAATAATAGCAAACTGTAGTTGTATCAATCACAAAATGTAAATTAACAAATCTGGATCCAGGGACGAAGTGTTGTGATTAAGAGATAAAATAATTATGTCCCTTCAGTTACATTTCCAACAGTGACTATGCCTTCCAAAATGCAAAATTGTAAGAGCCTTTATGTTAAATTAGCTCAAACATAAATCATTGCCACAAAAACATGAGACAACCACAGATATCATAAACTAAGCTTAATCCATTCCAGACCTAATCACAAGAATTGACAAACTTGCCTTGCTCCCAAACTGCTGCATTGTGAGACACAGAGGCTTCCACATTGGATTCAAGTTGTTATTCACGACTTCTGTCTTGCAAATTGGAACAGAAATACCAGTCTCAACAACCCTAGATACTCTCAAGAAAGGATCCTGAAAGCAGTAAGTAAGAAAAATATCTAAGAGCTAAAAATTCCACAAGTAACCAAAAGCTCCATAATGATATATGCTTCCAGATACATACACTTTTGGAAAATAGGTCCTTGTTATCCAAGTTGGAACAATGGAATGTCATCTCTACAGCATTTCTTGAACCAGCAGTTTCCTCTGCATGGACAGTTAGTGTCCCCAAGTTTTTCAGACCACTGTGCCCATTTTTATTGTGAAGGCGAAGGGTCAAACTCCGACTTTGTTTAGTCAATATCTGTTGAATTAAAAAAGGAGAAAGAGAAGTAAACATTTAAGAATATTTCTACATAAAAAGAAAGAACTTCCCAACCAACTACTTCATATTATAATAACTACAGAACAAGCCTCATTTAAGAAAGAGATATAGAAGCACTATTCTGAAAAGCCATCCTTCACTGAAGAAATCTATTGCACAGTTTTCAATACATGCACATATTCAACTAGGGGGAAGCCGCAAGTGGGTCCTGCCAGAAAAGAATTGTCCAAATATGTTGCGCTGGTAATAGGAGTTCCACACATTGCTCAAATTTGAGTTCCTTGAGTGGATCAAACCAAAGTAGGTCTGGACTTTCACAAAACTTGAATCCACATTTTGAAGCATGTCATGGGACCCAAAAAGGGGCCAGTAGAATGCAGTGAGACACGTGTTGTGAAATATGCAGCAATGTAGTCAAAGGAACAGTTCATGGGTAAAGCTGTGTAATTTAGACTTAAATGAGGACATTTTTTCAAGTCCCGTATGCATCTTCACAGATTTCCCGCCAACTTGGAACTGTTGGGTATGATGCTTATACATGTCCAAATTTTGTCACTTTGACACTGTTACTATACAGTGAAGAAGAATGCCAGGGTAATTATCGATGGCTAATATATGCAAGTGCTTGCATGAGAACAATAATTCTATGGTTAATATTGTTTAATTGCATAGATGGACAGTTTCTCTAATAATTAAAACATGTAGTTTTCTCAAATGTACAGTAAAGGCAATCAGTTGAACTATTTCCCAAACAACAAAATCCAATGATTTTTAAGAATTCGGCAATTACGATGAACACATATTTAGACACACACATGGTTCAAACCAAACATATCTTGTGATACATAACGGACCAGATATTTTGACTAGTTGCTCAGTTACGTGATGCTGCTCAACCAAAGAGGTCAAGAAATAGCTGTTCCCTTTTTCTTTTATTTGTTTAACTGAAAAAGCTATTGCAACATTTCGTTATATAATTTTTCAAACTGCCCCACTTATGTAATATATGGAGCAAACTCAATGAAATAGGCACACAAAAGAGCTTGAAGAGTGTGCAACATCAATATTGAATTCGATTAGGCCCCAGTGAATACAAGGAATCTTACCTGAGATACTACACAACTGGCTTCACCAAGAAATTCTTGTTCTTTCAACTTCAGCATCTGCAATGTAACAAAATGGAAGAACTTTATCATTTGCAAACTTTTTGTTTACCTATGATAATCAAAAGTTGCTATTAGTTACTATTTGCGGTGGGATGGTGAATTGCGCCCAAACACCTTCAAAATACATAATGTATCATTATTAGGTTTCGAAAAAATTCAATGTAAGAGGTTTTTTTAGTCAAATTAATTATTTAAATTTCTTCTAAATTTGTTTAATTTTTCAGTAGTGAGCTGTCATTAGCTCTACATATTTAGCTTCAAATAACCTTTTTTTTGGTAAAGTAAATTACGTGATTGTCCTGCCTTTTAGTTTTTGATCACCATCGATTCCGGCCACTTGCCATATGCTTGTTGTCTCCGTCTCGGCTTGCAATTGGGTTACGTTTTGATCACCATCCATTCCGGCCACTTGCCAATCGCTTTTTCCTCCTTCGCCTTCCACCACCATCACAGGCCACCATCCCCTTGCCCTGCAGAAATCCATCACCTCCTTCTCCGTTGCCGCCGTTGATGATTACATCCTTCGATCGGTGTTTGATTCAGTGAAGGCCGATGTCGGAATTTCCTTCTATATGTCTCTGATGGGTTATTGTGATTGATGTAGAGATAGGCATGGACGGTGAGAACGAAGCTTTTGGATTTGACTTGGGGCTCAATTATTAGGTGTTGGGTCGGTGGTGGTGGTGGTGGTGGTGTTGGTGTTGGGTGCCTGTGGGGTGGGGACAAACAACTGTGACCTAATAGATTCGTGTATGAGTAAATACGCACACTAATAAGAAAGCTCTCAATTGATGATTCCTATTGATGGATTAATGAATTACTCCATATGATTACCACAATACTTCACTATTTTGCCTTGGATAATTTCTTTTCATTCCATGGAATATAATCTGTTTGTTTCTTTAATGGTATCTAATATTTCTTTCCATTAGAGCACCACCATATGTTTATGAGCGCGAGAAAGAGGAAAACAAATTGGTGGAGAAATATAGAGAGATGAAGGGGGATTGTGAAAACAATCTGTTTGCATGTATATATGTCTTTAATTCTTTGGTTTATTTTCAATTAAGTGTATCTCTTTCTAAATTATAGTCTGTAATGTGGATAAACAATTGGCTATGGTGGTGGCCATGGTGGGAGGGATGAGGTGACTCTCTCTCTCTCTCTATATATATATAAAATGAACTTCCAATAGAAAAAGTAAGATATGCATGTGTGTTCTTAATCGTGAAGAATAGTGAAGTTTTCTAGTTCTAGTACGGGATATTGTCCCCCTATAGTCTAGTGCGCACATAAGGAGGTTAGCCGTGGACTAGTAACCCTAAAATAACCACGTTGTCGGTCTGATTCAGTGTGATGTCCAAGTATCCACTTTGTTTGATTTCGCATTTCAGATTTCAAGTTGATAACTAGATGATGTTGTAACTTATTATTCCTTATTTGATTTCCTATTTTAAGTTTCAAGATGTTAACTTTGAGAAATCATATTTTATGCATTGTATTGGAAGTTCCAATGTTGGTTAAATTATATTGATATTGTGATTTGTGTTTTATTGTTTTAATGTAGCCTATGATGATTCCTTAACCTTATTTGAAACATAGACGCTAGGTGGCATGATCCTTTTGAATTGTTTCATGTTAATGTAATTACCTTGTAAAAAGTTAAGTTTATGCATGCTCATTCCTTACGAGTAACTTGTTTACTCACCCCAAAGTTATCGGGTGATTTTTCAGGTACGGAAAAATGTATTCTTGAAATTCATTTAAATGCATTCTTGTTCACATGCAAGTGTTAGCGTGTTTGAATTTTACTTTTAAAGTTCTAATGCATAGTTAAGACAAAAATTGTCATTTTTGCCTTTGACTTGTATTATGTGCTTAAGCACGCTTTTTGACATTCATTCTATGGATATGATATGTGACCAAGGGTCAAACTTTATTTGAAATCCATGAATACCTATAAATGTTGAATTTTGCCCTTGGTCCATTCCTTGAAATGTTTTGAAATCCTAAATTCGGTCTTACTTCTGCTGAGTCATGGGACTCTTCGGAAGGCCACTCTCGTATCTTAGGGATAATGTACATCTCTATAAACTTGTTTATGTTTTGCTTCAGCATTTTTGGATCTGTTTCGGATTATCAGATGACACACTGGGTTGAAAAATGCAGGGTCGTCACAATGATTATTATTATTATTAATTTTTTCTTTTCTTTTGTTCTTTTTGCATTGAACCAAGAAAGCTTACCTTATCTTGTTGAAAAACCTAACATATTTTATGATATTTATTTTTATTTATTAATTTAGTAGAGATGTAATTTATCAAAAAATATTAAAAATTCAACTTTATCCATCCAATCGTGACTGCAAACCGTGCGCTGGCCTTCTGGTCGTTAGAATGGCATAAACAAAATACTCTAGGCCGGTAATGGTAGGGATTTGAGTCCTTTTCTTGGGCCGCCAAGTGACCACAAAATAACAAATTATTGGTTTAAAATCCATATTTAAGAAGGATTTTGCTTTCTTTTTTTTATTTTGGAAAGTCTTACTTAAACTAGGATTAGTATTTAGAAACCAATGCTTAATTCTTATTTCGCAAGGACAATTTGACATATGATCGAGTCTATAAATAGATACACATAGATACTAGTAATTAAAAGAGATTTGTTCAATTGATATGGAAGAAAGGATGGATATAAACCACAATTATCCCATCCATAACGGTAGTGACGACCACGACATGACTACTGGTATTCTGTCTCTATCTCTGTTTATATATATATAAATCCACATATATTTTTTTTAATTTGGCGAACTTGTATTGTTTATTAAAGTTTATACGGCATATCTATTATCATTACTAGGTTTCAAAAAAATTCAATGTAAGATGTTTTTTTAGTCAAATTATTTATTTAAATTTCTTCTAAATTAAGTCATTACCTCTCCATATTTAGCTTCAATATGGAGAGGTAACAATAGTGACTTAACAATAGTGATTCCGGCCACTTGCTATATGCTTGTTGTCTCCGTCTCGGCTTGCAATTGGAGTTGTTAGTTTTTGATCGCCATCCATTCCGGCCACTTGCCAATCGCTTTTTTATTAAAAAATATTTTTCCTCCTCCGCCTTCCACCACCATCCCCTTGCCCTGCAGAAATCCATCACCTCCTTCTCCGTTGCCACTGTCGTCTCAATCGACGCCGTGTGCTTATACAGTTTCGATTCCACGCCGCCGCCGTTGATGATTACATCCTTCGATCAGTGTTTGATTTAGTGTAGGCCGTTGTCGGAATTTCCTTCTATATGTCTCTGATGGGTTATTGTGATTGATAAAGAGATAGGCATGGACGGTGAGAACGAAGCTTTTGGATTTGACTTGGGGCTCAATTATTAGGTGTTGGGTCGGTGGTGGTGTTGGTGTTGGGTGCCTGTGGGGAGGGGACAAACAACTGTGACCTAATAGATTCGTGTATGAGTAAATACGCACACTAATAAGAAAGCTCTCAATTGATAATTCCTATTGATGGATTAATGAATTACTCCATATGATTACCACAATACTTCACTATTTTTGCCTTGGATAATTTCTTTTCATTCCATGGAATATAATCTGTTTGTTTCTTTAATGGTATCTAATATTTCTTTCCATTAGAGCACCACCATATGTTTATGAGCGCGAGAAAGAGGAAAACAAATTGGTGGAGAAATATAGAGAGATGAAGGGAGGGTTGTGAAAACAATCTGTTTGCATGTATATGTCTTTAATTCTTTGGTTTATTTTCAATTAAATGTATCTCTTTCTAAATTATAGTCTGTAATGTGGATAAGCAATTGGCTATGGTGGTGGCCATGGTGGGAGGGATGAGATGACTCTCTCTCTCTATATATATATAAAATGAACTTCCAATAGAAAAAGTAGAGATATGCATGTGTGTTCTTAATCTTAGAATTGAGTTTTCCTCACTTTTTATTCTCTTGTTTTTTTAATATTTTACAGGAATTATAAGAAGAAAAAGAGATGCTCCACCAGCTGATTACATACTTAAAATAAAGTCATTCTCTTTTTTGTGTGAAACACTTTCTAATGCTGATGTACAAAATTATCAATCAGGAGCCTTTGAAGTTGGTGGTTACAAATGGTATGTTAATCAAATCTTCTAGCTACTATTGTGTTGCATTCAAAACAACTCGTTGTTTGAGTTCAGACATACACTTTATATTCTATATATCATGCTAGTTTTTCTACAATTTTATAACTTTCTCACTTTTATGGTTTTATTTTTTTTATTGGAATTTACCAACAAAAGATAAATAACTACAAATATATATATATATATATATATATATATATATATATATATATATCAGAACTGTAAAAGCAATTGATTTATGTGTTTGTCAGTAATGAATAACATAATTATTAATATTAAGTGATATTTATTATTTTATTTTGCAGGAAATTGTCTATATATCCTAATGGAGACTTGAAAAGAAAGGGAAATGGTTATATTTCTCTTTATTTAGCACTCGAAGATGGAGATTTACTTCCTACTGAATTAGAGATTAGTATAGAATTTAAGTTATTTCTATATAATCATATTGAAGACAAATATTTGATTGTACAAGGTAGCTCACGCCCCTTTTTCTCATGATTACCTTGATAGTCCTATAATATTTTTCATTTAAACAAATTCAGTTTAATTATTTTCTCTCTTTTAATTGTTGAAACTCTTCTAGATGGTGGTGAGAGAGTGTGTCGATTTCATAAGTTGAAAACCGAACATGGCTTCTCTCAATTCATCCCTATTACTACGTTCAACAATGCTTCAAATGGATATTTAGTAAAGGACTCTTGTACTTTTGGCGCTGAAGTTTGTGTTTTGAAAAATAAAACCAAAGGGGAGTGTTTGACAACTGTATTGGTTCCTGATCTTCGTGATAGTGATTTCATTTGGAGGCTCGCCTACTCAAAATTGGATTCCAAGATCCATTATAGTAAATATTTCAGTGTTGCTGGAAGGAGCTGGTACGTGTAATTGAAATTGTTCAATTTAAATTAAATTAACAATTACAAGTGTATATATATGCTCAAACTAATATTTGTTTGATCTTTTCTTTTTTTTACTTCTCTGAAAATTATTTTATCCTTTTCCTTATATCAGGAGGTTATTACTCTCACCTAAATTTGAGGATAAATATCTCTCTCTATCTCTTGAGATGAGTGAATTGACAACCTATTCTAAAATTAAGAGATGGTTTTATACAAGCTCTTTGGAAAGAAACAAGGTGCACGTAATATGCAAATTGTTCATAAAGGACCAAGTACATGACAAACATTTGGAAAATTCAAGTAAATATTCTTGTCATGCACTTATCTAACTTTAATTTAAGACTTTTCTTTTCTCTTTCATTAGATATATAATTATTTGTGTTTTCTTTTGCAGTTTGGAAATGGTTCGGCCATGGTGTAAGTTCGGACTTTATAAC